CTCATAGTCATAGTTAAAAAGTAAACAGAATTATTGATGTTATATTTTTTAACTTTTTGATAATGTTGCATTATCTTATGGTAACAAGTCAGTATCACTGTTAATTTTTAACAATGGATTATCAAATATAACGTTAAGTATGATTTAAAAAAAAAATTGAGTCACCAAAATAGAACAAAAGTAATAGTTGGAGTACTGAACTTGTAGTTTAACCTAAAAAACCTAGTGACTAGACTAAAAAAATATTTAAATAGTAAGAACCAATGATGGTGCTATGAATAGGGAATAAGGTGGCACGTAAAATAAAGGCCGAAACGATTATGGTGGGACTATGTTCCCTCTACCTATTCATTTTTTAAAAAGAAAGGATAAACTATGCATTTAGTACCTAAACTATCAATTTAATTCATTTTAGTACTTAAACTTTCAATATTTTTAAAATCATACCTAATGTTTAGTTTTTATTTCATTTTAGTACCCTGCCGTTAAAAACTTATTATGTTTAGTACCTAAACTATCAATTTTGATCCATTTTAGTACCAAACTTTCATTTTTTTTCAAAACTTAACGTTAAATTTTGAACATGTGGTACTAAAATGAAACAAAAACTAAATTGTAAGTATAGTTTTGAAAATATTGAAAGTTCAAATACTAAAACAGATCAAAATTGATAGTTTAGGCACTAAATGTAAAATTTACCAAAAAATCCCCTAGTTACATTTCCAGATCAAGAATCTGATTTCAATAAACTCCACTATTAAGAGTAAATTATTCATTTATCGAATAAAAATTCTTTTTTGAGAAAATCACCACTTATGCCCCTAAAATTTTCCTAATTTTCTACTTTGATCACCAATCTTTCAAATTTTACATTTTAGTCACTAACCAAAATTTTGGGATATTACATTACATGCTTCCACGTTTTTGTTAAGATATTTAATTTTAATTAATAATTAAATAATATAATAGAAAGATATTATTTTTAAAATAAAGTTAAAATTTTAAATTAAGATATTATAAATAAATTAAATTAATCAACGAAATTGGTTCAAGTGATAAGCAGTTTGATATCGCTCAAGACCTTCTTGAGTTCGAATTTTTGTGTACGTAAATATTTCCGTTGAGAAACTCAGCCACTAATACCATATCAGTCCAGATTAATCAAAATAAAGTCTTGAAATGAAAAATACAACCAAAATTAATTCATTAATTAAAAGAAGTGTCTCGATATCTCAAATTTGAGAAATCCAATATCTAAATATAACATATGAATTTGAGATTAAATATTTTCTTATTCAAGTATTATCAGTTTTATTTTAAATTGTATGCATTTTGATCACAAATAAAGCTTGAAATTTCTTCCATCCACTTCTAAACTGAAATGACATTGTTTTGTCATTTTGCAAATCTTTGGGGGCTTATTTTTACTATTTGTTTATTACTTAGAAAGGAATTTAAAAAAGTCCACAATGAAGGCAGACAGTGGAGTACCAATTAATCAATAGTTGTTGTATCTAACAAGTTTGACAATGCACTGCCACCTCAAATCTCCTTTCTTTTTTAACACTTGGTGGTGAAATATTTATTTTTGCGAAAATTACTCTTAAGTCCTTTCATTTCTAAAATTTGGTGAATTGATCTCTTTCCGAAAAGAGGGTTAAATTTCTTGAAGAAATATTGAGGGGTTAAATTGGTGTAAAGGTTGATTGTTGAAGGATGATGATGAAAGAGAATGAAAATAGGTTAGTATGGATTAAATTAGTAGAATACTAAAATATTAAGGGTTAATTTTTTTTTGAAAAGGTAGAAACAGTTAGTTTTATTTTAAAAAGAAAAATATTCAAATTATAATAAATGTTTACAATCACAATCGTAAATTAAGACACGTAATAAGAAAATTTTCCTATAATTATTAACACAGGGACCATACAAGGAAAATATTAAAAATTGTACCAATTAAACTTTAATAAAATGTAGTTACAAACGTATTTGACATCATTAACAAATGAACCACAAAATGGGTCAAGTTATTAAAAGGCCATCGAAAAACCGAAAATCATAATCGAGCGACGTGAGAAAACTATTCATTAACGCAAATTGCGTATCCAAATCAAATTTGATTGTCCAAAGCAAGGAAGATCAACATGATAACAAATAAGATCCATCTTAATTAGTTCTTGCGATGTCAAATTCAACCCTGAGAAAAAAAGATAAACAAAAATAACAACCTAAAGGCTGAAAAAAGCATAAGAAATGTGTCATAAAGGTATACGAAAACGTGTTATAAAGGCAAGATTATTAAACTTCGAAGGAAACTGTTTGATTGGGAAATCGACCAATGGTGCAACTTTATAGATACCATCAACCTCGGCGCAAGTAATACTGCAAGCCAGGACTGCCTAAAATGGGTGGGGAGTTCCTCGGGCACTTATAAACCGGAAGCTTGTCTGGGCGGGGTTAGCTCCACCAAACGTGGAGTTTTTCGTGTGGAGAGCGGTTCAACACCGCATTCTGGTTCGACAAGAACTGTTGAAGCGGGGAGTGATCAGTCAAGACTTGGGTAGGTGTGCATTGTGTGAAAAATCAGAAGAAACGGTTGATCATCTTCTGTGTCATTGTGAGGTGTCTTGGAAAATTTGGCAGGAGTGGTTTTACACTTGGAATACAAACCTTGTTGTCCTGGGGACTTTGAGAAACTTGTTAACTTTGTGGGAGCATTTTCCATCAAACTCATCGCTTAAACCTATGTGGAAGCTTGCATTTTTGGTATTGTCTGGACCATTTGGTTAATGCGTAATGAGGTAACTTTTAATAACAAAATCTGCAATGTTGAGAGCATTTTTGACTTGGCGTTGCTGCGAATTGGTACATGGGCGAAAAGCAAGTGGCCAAAAGTGGTGCCTTCTGTTAATGATTTCATCAGATGCCCCACGGTAACATCAATGCAATCAAGGCAATCGGCTAGACCAGCTATAGGCTCCTGGTCTGCCCCAGAACAAGGAAAATTAAAATTCAATGTTGACGCAGCAGTGCAAGGCTATGTGGGTGAAGCCGGAATTGGAGGTATTCTTCGGAACCACAATGGTTAGACTCTTATTCAATTTTCAAGATTTATCGGCCAGTCAGACCCTATTGAGGCGGGATTATCCGCTATACTAGAAGCATGCCAATTATTCAGTTCATCAAGATGGATGGAGGATAACATTCTGAGAATAGAATCAGACTGCTTGACGGTGTGAAATGGATTGAGGAGCCGAAACCTGTACCAATGCCGTTTGCAGACCTAGTAGACAAATGCAATAAGATCTGTACGAACCATAAGTGGAAGGTATGTTTTGTGCATAGCGAAACTAATTCTGGAGCACACCAGTTGGCTCAAAAAGGAGCACGAGGCGGCAATCCATTCTTATGGATGAAAGCTTGAGGATAGTTATTGGGCTTTATCTTTGTGTAAGTGTACGGTATAGATGCTGCCAGTCCTCCATTATCTCGCTGAATATCACTACAGAACAGCTTAGGAGCGGATGGTTCGTTGAAATGTGTATGTATGGACTGCCGGCGGTTGCGAGAATTGCTTTTGATTGTTCTGTGCGCAGAGAATAATGGAGATGGGGTTTTCTGGTGGTGTTATAGTTATGGCTGACCTTTTGGAAAAACCTGTCCTTCTGAGCTGTTTCCCTGGTGATGTGATCTCTGCTTGTTGATTGTGCAGTGCTCGTGTTTGGGATGTGCTCATCAACATGTTGCAATCGTGCTTTGGATTAGTAGAGTCTGAACGTTTGATGTTCAGAATTGTATTGGTGTTCAATACTAAAGCACGTGTTTCCTGTTATGTGCACTACGCGGATTGCATGAGTTGTAGAGAGTTTGCTTTGTGGTTTGCAGCAGATTTAGATTACTTAGTGAGAATGAGCAATGGCAGTGCATTACCCCTTCATGTTTAAGTGGGCATTTGGTTGAAAGTTGTGGTCTACTTCCTGCTGCAGTTGGGATTGTATGGTAAGTTCCCAAGGGCTGTTGGATTTTATATTCGTTGTTGTCTTGGTGTTGGTTTTAGTTAAAACATCGATGATTCCGACATCGATATGGCGCATTCTTTTTCCTCCATTTAAGATTACGGAGGTTTTTTAACAAGGCTTATATCGATTGTCCTGACTTGTACGCATTCGATTAATAAAATCATTCAAAAACTCTTTTAAAAAAAATTGAATCGTATCAAAATTTCATATTTATAATTACGAAAAGTCAAAATTTATGTATCACAATGCATGAGAGTAAAGCTTGTGCATAACTTTAATATGGGTAAAATATACAAATGGTCCTTTGACTATAGAGTACCACTTTATTAAGTCTCTCAACTATTAAAAGTTACAACATGGTCCTCCGATTATAGAATGTTGCTTTGTTAAGTCATTCGACTATTGAAAGATACAAAATGGTCACCTGACTATTCATTATGTTTCACACTCGTCACTTTCCTTTAAAAATGTGGTAGTTTTCTAAGATGAACATTACCATGATGACTGAGATCGTTTGAGATTTTGGGATCATATTTTATCATATCACAATTAACAAGTTAACGTTCAACTCAAAATACCGTCAATTTTTTTAATCGAAAAGGATTGGTTTTGAACATAATAAATAGTCGAGGTGATCATTTTGTAACTCTTAATAGTCAAGGGACTTAACAAAGTAACACTATATAGTCACATGATCATTTTATAACTTTTAATACTCAATGGACTTAATAAAACAATATTCTATAGTCGAGGGACCATTTGTGTACTTTACCCTTTTAATATTTATCTCCTATTTTTTAATCTAATTACTTTTATTTATTGTATTTATAGATATTTGATGTTACTGTCATTTTCTATCGCTTTAAATCTTTGATTGACTATATAAAAAAATGAAAAAGAAAATGAATTATCATTAATCTTGAATTTTTTGGATGGTTTAATTGCACAAGATCCTCAATCTATTACTTGAATTCTAAATAGGTACCTAAACTGTAAAATATTTTAACTCTGAATATGACATGGAATTTAAAACAAGTGGATCAAATTTACGTATGTGTACCCTATCGCATTACATCCTGAACAACCTAATACGGACATAAAATTATTTAGGGTAAATTATGCATGCAGTACATAAACTACCCGTTTTAATTTGTTTTAGTATCTAAACGGACCAAAACTGATAGATTAGACACTGAATGCATAGTTTACCCAATTATTTAATGCCTTCGGGAACATAAGATGACATTAATAGGCTGCTTGGCCAAGTACTATCCGCTCTTCTCTGCTGCTTTCGTCGGGGGTAAGGTCCCAAAAACTCTGTCCCATAACGCCGTCGTTATCCCAAAGCCCTTGTTTTGGATCCTAAAGTGATGGTTCAAGTGATATTTCTGCACTCAGCACATATGTTCTCTCGTCATAAACATGATCTCAAAGTACTCGGAACATGATCCTCGGTGTCTGATCGATATCGAATATATTGATCAGTATGTATCGTTCACATGCAAATTGGTCTTACCTTAAGGCTTTTAAGACTTTGCTTGGTGGGCTGGCCATGGTGCACATAGTAATGCATCATATCATACATAACATATCCGATCAATCCACCTCCGAACATTACGGGTCTTATCGAGAGAGTGAATAAAATCCCGTATAGATTCCAAAACTGATGAACACATAAAAAATCAACATTAAATTCTGATCTCTTAACATGATTTCTGACTTCGTCCCTAGAAAACGAAAAATAAAGGAAAGGACATACATACCATTAGGGCTAGTATAGCAGCTTCTGCAGGTGGAATCACAAGCCTTAGGCCATCCAGAGGGTGCTTGTGATGGCAGCCATGTATGAGATAGTGAAAGGTGTTTGCCCTTCACACAAATTCGTCAATAAATCAGAGATTTACGATTTGATTCGAATTGACTTTGAATGTTACGAGAACGAATTAATACGAATTCTACAAAACGATTCGAGTTTTACCAATAACTCGTGGTGTCGATGTGAAAAAGGAAACGATGAAAACAATACTCGAGAAATGTCCATACAAAGGCCCCAACAGCAGCCAGTATGACCACAAGGGGAAGTGTATGACCCATGGTGTAAGACATTGTGATGAAATATAATCCAACCGGTACCCATATGACCGGCACTACCCACCACAGTGTCCGAGTTATCATCTGTTTCATGGTTGAACAACAGGAAAGAAGTATTAAACTCGGTACGATTCGATCTAAATTAATTAAAATTCGATCTAATCCGTATTAAATATTTTGAACGGATATTTTTGAAATACCTCTAAGAAATCACTCTCGAAAAACCGAGGACTTTCCTTGGTCAGAATAGGCGTGTGAACCCACTCTTGATAATCTTCCCCTAGGTGACCAACCTGCCGTAATCAAGATGTTAGCTCCGAAAACCCGAAGCTTTTCCGATTCAGTTTTCTCCGTTCACAAAAACTCAAATTTTAAATCACGAATTTCGAGTTTATATAAAGTGAAAACTACAAGTTTAGCTTTTTCAATTCAATTTTTTCTGTTCACAAAAACTCGAACTTTAAAACACATACTATTATTTTTATCATATTTTGGTACTTAAACTTTCATTTGTTTCAAAATTATATCGTTTACTTTTTATTTCATTTTGGTACCTCGTTGTTAAAAACTTGATGGAAACATTGCACATGACTTTTATAGGTAAATTACATCATTCTTCCCTTGGTTATATTCTCGCTCCTATTTTGGTCATATTTTGGTCACTAAAGTTTAAAATTTTTCAATTTAACTACTCAACTTTTAAATTGCTCATACTTTAGTTACTCTGATTTATTTTATTACTAATTTTTGTAACATAAAATTTTATTATTATTATTTTATTAATATATAATTAAAATAAAAAGTGAAATTTAAAAGTTAAAATGACTAGATTAGGAGTAATTTGAAAGTCAAATAATTAAAATAAAAAATTAAACTTCAATGACCAAAATGGAAGTAAGAATATAATTGAGTGATTAATGATGTAATTTACTCATAAAATGTCATGTTGCAACAATTTCTCTAAGCTTTTAACGACGAGATATGATTATGAAACGGATGAAAATTAAGATATCAAAACGGGATAAAAATAATAATTCAACTCTGAAAATTTGGATATTTTTTAATTTAATTTTCTACATTCTTAAATACTCGAACTTTAAGACACAAACTCAAGTTTACATGAACCCCAGAATCGAGAAGGCATTAGAAGTACCTGAAACACAAGGGGTTTACTCAGATCGACAGTGAAACCCTTTCCGGCCATGTCTGCAGCTGCAACAAAACATGAAGGGTTTAGTACAGGAAGACAACATGGGAAACAACGAAACCCCGAAATCCAAATGAGCAGATATGAACTCACGAAGATTGAGAGTGAAATTGAAATGATGAAGAAAGAGGTGGGTTCTAGGGGTGTAATTTATAAGAGAATCGGAATTTGTGGGCGACAATGGCGGATGTACATTGTTTACAGGTAGGTACGTGACCACCATGAAGTTCGATTTTTTTAATTACTTATTGATTTTATTGATTTTTCCCACTTAAAATTTTATTTATGTCCGTTCTATATAAAAATTTGGTAGTATTAATATACATATATTTTCTTAAAAAAATATTTTTAGATCCGTCGTTGGTTCGGGACATTAAAGATTTACTTTCAAACATGCAATTATCTGTGCTCTGTGTTGGGTCCTACTTTTTTTTCAATAGAATTGACCTTTTAGTTAGTCACCGGTATACGTATTTTATCACTTAACCAAAAAAATGGTTAAATTGTTCCATCACCAATATGTTTAGGGTAAACAACGCATTTAGTACATAACTTTCATTTTTGGTCTGTATTTAGTGTCTCGTTTTGCGAAATTTTATTTTTATACTATTTTTTTCCATCTATAAAATATGGGTAAAGTACATAAATAGTCTCCCGACTATAGAGTATTATTTTATAGAGTCCTCCGAATATTAAGAGTTATAAAATGATCCTCCAACTATAATACGTTACTTATTAAGTCCTCTGACTATTAAAAGTTACAAAATAGTCACCTGACTATTCATTGTGTTCTAAACTCGTACTTTTTTCGTTAAAAAATGACGGCGATTGAGTTAGACATTAACCTACTGACTGATGTATAATATAATCTGATCTCATAATCGCAAACGACTATCATATCCCACAAGGCAAAACTTCGTGGGGGCCAAGGCTCTCCTTGACCCCATCAATTATTATTTTTAAGTATTAATTAATATTAAATATATATATATATATATATTTGAAAAAATAAATAAAGAAAAATTATCTGACCCTCCTTAATTAAAAATTGTGTTTATAGAAAATAAAAATATTTTAACCCCGTTAAAATAAATTCCTAATTATGCCTCTGATATCCCAATTAGCAAGTTAACATCCAGCTCAAACCGAAATTAACAAAAAAAGGATGTGTTTGGAACATAATAAATAGTGAGAAGATCATTTTGTAACTTTTAATAGTTGAGGGACTCAAAAAAAGTAACATCTTATAGTTCAAGGATCATTTTGTAATTTTTAATAATTAGATGATTCAATAAAATAATATTCTATAGTCGGGGGAGCATCTGCATATTTTACCCTAAAATATTTAACTATTATTGAATAACGGTAAATGTTACTTATTGTTTTAATCTATTATGATCTCCGTTGATTATATTTCCGTTAATAAAATCCTAATTAATTAGCATTAACTATGATGAGTATAACATCCAATCACGCTAGCTAATGAATGTGGAAAGTGTCCTTGGCGTGTACGCTAACATGGAAGTTAAACAAACTAAACGACTTTTATGGTAAAAGAATTATAGTAAGTTTTCGGGTTCGAGCACCAGGAATATTAGGGATGTGAGTGTTCAATGTTAAATGTTTAAGAGTTATATTTGAATAGATATTATCTTATACTTACCCCAGATTAATAAAGAAAATAATATGTTGATGTTGACTAACATGATATGTGAATGAGTATGGATGTTCAAAGTTCGGTTAAAACTGATGTTACCAATCGAATTGAAGTTTTTTTTGGATTAATTGGTCTGTTAATTTTAAGTATGGTCGGTTAATGGTTAATGATTTTTTCAAACTTCAGTTATCAATTAATCCTGTTCGAAATTAGTCGATTAACTGAATTAACCGAAATTATTAAAAATCTAATATATATTAGAGTGTTTAAACTTCTTTTTTAACCGAAGTAACTGACCAATTTAATCAAATTAGCTGAAAATATAAAATATTTAATATTTAATATATATTATTTATACATTTCTATTAACCGATCAATCAATCGAACTTTGTTCAGTTCGATTAATTATTTTTGAAAAAAATTCAATTCAGTTAGAGGTTAAAGAGAAAAAAAATAGATTAATGAAAACTGGCCGATTGAACACCCCTATAAAAGGAGGTCTCCTCGATTCAATTCAAATTATTATAAATATAAATATAAATAAGTATAAATATAAATTTTTACTATATTTTAAAGGGAAAAAAATAAGTTTTAGATCAACTCAAAGTAATTATCGGTTCGAATTCGATTCATGAACATTTTTTATGAGATTTTTATCATTGATAAGGTTGTAAACGAAGTGAGTTTGAACGAACATAATTATGTTATATTCACGTATTTATTTTTAAGAGTGTTCATATTCGTTTGTTTATTAATAACATAAAAAATTTGTTTATACTCATTTATTTAATTTAATAAATATTATATGAAAAATTTACAAACAATGCGTCCGAAATTCTACTTCTTAGAGGTTAATCATTGATCTTGACATGATTGAGGTTGCTTAAGGGATATGCTCGTTTGGAAATTGTCATTTCATGCATTTATCGACAGAAAAAGGATAAGATTTGTTTTTTTTTATTATATAAAAGGATAAAAATTTGCATATAAATTATTATTTTCACAAAAATTGTTGGATAAATTACACCACGAGGTCACTAAGTTATTAATAGTTTTATGATTGAACCATTATGTTTCAAAAAAATCATAACCGAATTATTCTATTAATTGATTGTAGCAATCATGTCTATATGCCATATATATATATATATATATATATATATATATATATATATAAAGTATTAAAGCATCGAAGAGCATTTGTCTAAGAAGAGAAAAAAAGACAATGGACGACTGATCTTGAAACACCATGTAAGAATTTAGAAAATAAGATCTAAAAGATCGACTCACAACGGAAAGTTGAGAGACTAAAATATAAGCTTACTCGTAATTTGAGTGATTAAAATACAGATAAGAAGTTAATGCCCATCCGAGGTTTAATAATGCAATGACCTTATTGTCACAATCGATTAATCAAATGACTTGATTTTGACTTTATGAAATATGATGACTCAATATAATAATAGAGTGACCTATTGTGTAATTTACCATATTTTTAACCTATTAAAGGAATACATTTTGTTCACACGTCACAGAACATCAACACAGATATGAGATAAGATAACCATGTAAGATGTTTTTTTAAATCAAGATTAAGATGTCCGATCTTAATTATCTTTTTGACGTCGATTTCCACTTATTTTATAAAATTGGGTAAATTACGTATTTAGTACCTAAATTAACAGTTTTGGCCCATTTTAGTACCTAAACTTCCATTTTTTTAAAATCATACCTAAAGTATAGTTTTTGTTTCATTTTAGTATCCCGTTCAAAATTTAACGTTAAATTTTGAATTTTTTATAAAAGTTTAGATACTAAAACGGATCAGAACTGATAGTTTATATATTAAATGCGTAGTTTACCCTAAAAATTTAAAAGAATATTTATAAGAAGATATTTAATGAGTGAATCTAATAATTACGCGTTTGATCTTTAAATACGGCAAGTAAATCTATTCTCCTACATTTATTGAACTTGTAATCTTTCTAACTTCTCAATCTCTTATTACGTACATTCACTATTATTATTATATTTTTTAATTTAGATTGGTCCTCAATAGGGATGTTTATTAAAGTGTATCCCTAAATTTAGGTACTTGATTTTTTAGATAATACAAAATGTAGTTTGAGTTTTGTGTATTTAATTTATATTTATGTTTTTTAAATTATATTATTAAAAAAATATAAACTATACAAATGGTCATCTGACTATAGGATGTTGTTTTATTGAGTCCCTTAACCATTAAAAGTTACACAATTATTTGATTATTTGAGCTGGACGTTAAAATGCTAATCGGGATATAATAGTTGTTTAAGATTTTGATATCATATTTTATTATATCACAGTCATCAGGTTGATGTCCAACTCAAATCATCATCAATTTTTAAAGGAAAATGATGAGATTGGATCACAATAAATAGTCAAGTGACCGTTTTGTAACTTTTAATTTTTTGGGACTCAATAAAGCAACATCTTACAGTTAGGACCATTTTGTAACTTTTAATAGTCAGAAGACTAAATAAAGCAATACCCCAAAGTCAAAGGACCATTTGTGTATTTTACCCTAAAAATTACTTTAAAAAATACAAAATTTAAAAGTTCATAATACATAATTAAATCATATAATTTATACGAGGAACGGAGGAAGAGGAGGAGGAAGAGAGTAAAGAAGTCCCATCACGTATAGATCGATTTATGGGTCAAGTTGTTCGAGATAAGAATGAAGTCAAAAGTTTTGAATTAGGGTTCGGTATAAAAACTTAAAATGTATCAGAAGAGACATTGTAGGAAATCGATACTTTTTAATAGTGAAACACATTATTGACTTAATTACTTTTATATATGTGTGTACTTGAACGCGTTCTCTTATATTAATGTAAAACTAAATGAATTTTACGTATTAAATAAGTTTTTTCAACAATTGATATCTAAATAATTGAACCGTCGAATTTCATTGTTCTATCTACGTCGATCACGAGTTTCGAGTTTTGACTAGATTGAAAATATCTAACTATTTATTTTTAAATAAAACTTTTCAACCATCAATTTACATAATTATCCTTATGGTCCTTTTATGTATAGATTGAAAACATTTGGACTCTTTCTTTTTTGACATTGAGCAATAATATTTGGACCCAACACTTGATTTTGAGAAACTATTGGGCCTTCCTGTCATGGGTTTTGAATGTAGGATAGAAAACATTTCATAAATAAATTTTTTATTAAACTGAGTTGATTAAAAGATAACATACGTGGTAAATATTATAAATTATTTGTCAATGAATGCACAAGTATATCTGTAGACGTTGATGTTCGAACTGGGACGTCTACGAACAATAACTATATCTTTAATCACCAAGATAAGTTGATTTGTGTGATTATATATAAATAGTTAAATGTATATGTTTTGAGCGATGACGAATTTGTTGTACACTTGTCTACTCTAAATTTAAAATTTTATTTTTAAATTAATTTTATTATTTATAAATATCCTAAAATTTTAATTGTGTTTGTCCGCTTATAAAAAAATATATTGTTAATATGTGTTTACCCTCAATTTTTTTTATTTATCACTGATTTTAAAATTATATAAAAATTATATGATTACTAAAAATTATAATGGTTAGATTATTCATAATCGTCAATCCTTAAAATATTTGTATTTAAGTGTATTAAGATTTATTTTTTTGAAAAATAACAACAATGCTAAGCGTATTGATATTTAATACCCAATGAATAGATCATAAATTACATTTATATACAAAATTATTATTCTAAATCGTTAATTAAAAGAAAGGGTAAACTATACATTTAGTAATTAAATTATCAATTTTGATCCGTTTTGGTATAAATTTTTATTTTTTTCAAAAGTATACATAATATTTTGTTTTTACTTCATTGTAGTGTCTTACCGTTAAAAATTTAACGCGTTTAGTATCTAAACTATCCGTTTTTATCCGTTTTAATACCTAAAATTTCATTTTTTTTTTCTTCAAAATTTAACGTTAAGATTTTAACGTTAAGAACCGGCCGCCTCCCAAACTGAGACCGACCAAACAACGGAAAATGATCAATGAAATATAATTCGGAGACAATGCGCTCAAAAAGCCAGCTCCAGAAGTAACTACTGCAGTGATGAGGAACCCTTTCCTGAAGGACAGAAGTAAACCAAGAATCACTTTTGTTTCCATTTCAATTCTTCTATGTTCCACTGCTAAAACTCTAGCCATGGAGTCTATATTCGAATGACTAACGATCATATTTCCCGAACCAGGAAAATCAGTGAGAAATCGAACACTATAAGCTTCATTCAATCATATTTTATAGAATGTAAGATCAGGAAAATCAGGAAGTTCCCACCTTCTTCCATGTTTATCAGAGACTACACCCCATGAGTATTCTCCGATAAGCTTTCCGACGAGAACGACGCTGGTTATTAGGCTCTCTTGATGGGAAGTAAGGTCCCATAAAGCTTTAACTGCAGGGCCTATTAACGAGAGAAGCATCATTTCCATAGCTTCTTAAATCCAACCCATTCCAGCATAAGCAAGCACAAGAACTTGGAACTTTCCGAACCCCATGTGCAAAAGGGCATCATCCACAGTAAAGGTGGGGCTTCCATCTTCTCCCATTAATCACTAATTAAAAGGGAAAAAAAGAAAAGAAAACTTGGGTTAAAATCTTGCTTAAATTATATGATTCTATAATATTAGCATACTTGCAATCACAATAAAACATAGGATAAACAAACTCAAAACTTCCTTCCTCCTTGCATGATTACAAAGTGAGGTTGATGAATAGATAACAAACAATATTCAACAAATGTTTGTTAAATTTACGTACATTGTGCCCAGGGATTTAAATAATGGTCCGTTACCACAATAGCGCCCGTTAATAGTGGGCTCAGTGCTGTCCGGAACCATTATTGCATTACTACGATGCGTGTAATTAGGGATGGACATGGGACCCGAACCCGACCCGATCGGGTAAGATTTTTTTATAAAAAAAAATCGGGATCGGGTCAGGTTTTTTTTTAAGTGTGATATTCGGGTTGGGTCGTGTTTGAGTTTAGGGTGAAAAATACCCAACCCGACCCGACCCGAAAAAATATATAATTTTACCTTATATATTTAGGAATAATTACAATAATACCCCTCTATATATAATTTTTTCCAATTAAGTCACTGTTTTTTTAATAAAAAAATTTTTTTATTTCGGGTCAGGTTTCTAAGTTATATATCGGGTCGGGTTCGGGTCGGGTGAAACCTAGTTTTGGTCTGGTCGGGTCGTGTCTCGGGTGGAGGTTCCCTTGTTCTCGGGTCGGGTCGGGTGGACCAAAAACCCGATCCATGCCCATCCCTACGTGTAATCACAGTAATAGCACTCGTTATGTGTGCAATTGCAATAAACACAACCGCAATTTAAATCCCTGATTGTAACTTTTGAATGGTCATTCATTAATAAAAAAAGTATTTTTTTTACTTAGACTATACATATTCAGATCCTGATATGTTGGTAATCTGAATCCCATCCATTCTATAACTAAACACACACAAAATCAATTAAAACAAAACATATAAAAATCGATTAATTAACAAAGACAACAATGCGATACGAAATCAACCAAGTTAACAGTTATTACAGCCTACCAAAGACCATGAATTCGAAAAACAAAAAGATAAAAAAAAAAAAAAAGAACCTGATTGAAGCTTCACAAAAAACTGGGTATGTTAAATATCCTTTGTAGTATCCCAAATTTTAGCTAGTGACTAAAATGTAAGTTTTAAAAGTTTAGGGGTTAAAGTATGAACTTTGTAAAAGTTTAGGAACCAAAAATATAATTTTTAAAGATTATATATATTTTAGGCAGTAAATGAAAAGTTTGGCCTAAAATAAAAACTTTCGTGATAATCAGTTTTTCAGTATGAGATTTTTGTTAAAAGCTATAAAGCGATCAAGTTTGGTATAGAATTGGATAATCGGATTACCCGGAATTTTACAAAAATTTGAAGGATGCTAAATATATGTTGGAAATATTATTTCAATATTTTAGAACATTGAAAATTATTGTGGATCAATGAATTTTGGATATAATTTTCTCTATTTAGCCAAATTGAAGAAATTTAGTGACAAAATTGTAAGTTTTGAAAATTTCAAGGATAGAAGTGTAAAATTAGAATTGAGATATTTTATTGATGTAAGTAATGATGTCAAGGAGTGACATGGATGAAATTATTAAGTTTTATTAATGGCAAAATGGTAAAGTAGATTAAATGAATTTAAAGTTTTATTAATAAAAGGATAATTTCAAGTAAATTGAAGAAAATTTCAGTTTCTTCTTCTTCTTTCATCCGTGAGTTCTATAGCCAAGGTAAGAGAGTTTTCTTTTTAATTTTTGGTCCATTTTCATTAAGATTTTAAGTTAGATTATTAAGGATAAAATAATCTAAATGAAATTCTCTTTCATTTGGCATAAAAATCTTCACTTTCTATGTTTAAGATGGTGAGATGTGGATGAAGGGAAGTGTGATTTTTACGATTAAAGGTTGATTATTGATGTTAAAAGTGTTGCGAAGTTGAAATTAAGCATGAAAGTTGTTTAAAATCAAGTGTAAGACTACATATATGGTTCGGTCATAGGGTTATGTTTAGGAAAATGTTGTGTTTGATTTATATTTGATATGGAAACGAGTTGAATTTGTTGTACATGCTGTGTGGGTGATGAAATTGAGCTTGAATGAAGTTTAGGGATTATTTTGCAAAGAATAAAACTATTCGGCCAAAGGGGAAATATTTGGAAAAATTCTCAAAATTTTCATAAAGACTTAGAATGATGACAAAAATGATTTGGTGTGTTTGAAATCAAGTTTGGATTAAGATGGAGTTTGGTTGAAACTTAGAGACCAATTTGTAACTTTTGGAATTGTGAAGGATTTGTATAAAAATCTTGAAAGATTAAGGTCCTATGCCGGAAATTGTTGTTAGTATACCAAGATGGGCATCTTACATTGAAATTTATAAATAATTTCCTTATCTTTGCCTTTATTTTTTCCTCTATTAGTCCCTAAAAAAGACAAGCAATACCTAACTATCATTCAAAAATTAATTTATTCTTCAGCTTAATTAGATGTTGAAGCAAAAATGACTCAACAACTAAATAGGGTAAACTACATATTTAGTATCTAAATTATTAGATTTAGTCTGTTTTATTATCTAAACTTTCAAAAAAACAATCAAAATCATACCTAACATTTAGTTTTTTATTTTATTTTAGTAACCAATAGTTAAAAACTTAACACATTTAGTACCTAAATTGTTAGTTTTGGTCCATTTTAGTACCTAAATTTTAATTTTTTTAAAACTTAATGTTAAATTTTGAACGATAGCACTAAATGAAACAGAAGCTATAGTTTTTAACGGCATGATACTAAAATAAAATAAAAACTAAATTTTATGCATGATTTAAAAAAATTAAAAGTTTAGAGACTAAAACAGATCAAAATTGATAATTTATATACTAAACAAGTAATTTACCCTAAAATTTAAGCCTTCTCATAGGTTGGACTACCTTTTACGGATGTAATTGTTTGTTTGATATTCCAATCACTAGGAGTTAGAATTTACTGTAGAATTTAGTGATCTATTTACCATTTAATTTTTAAATTCAGATTTATTTTTTTCACTTAAATTATTATTTTCATTTTCTTTTACTCAAAAATATTATTGATATCTAATAAATAAAAAGATACAAAGAGATAAAATTTGATGGCTAAGTTATAAATCAAATATTTTTTTTTATTTTTGATAACTTTGTCTGTATGATACATTTTCCTATACTATTATGACATATTTTCTCTATTACTGTAACACATTTTCAGTCGTTTGACTGTTGTTTTAATTTACCTTTTTCTCTTAGGGTTGGATTGCATATCGCTACTACTGATCAAAATATTATTTATTTGTTATTATATTAGTCTTCTATGCTTTAGACCATCGGATTAAATTTTAATACCCGATTTGCTCTTCATGAATATTTTTTCTCACTTTGTTCAATTCTAATTTGCAGATTATCAGTAATCTTTTAGTAGCTTTATTCATTTGTGGTTTATTTACCGATGCGATCATATCTTTTTATATCTGTTTTTTACTTGTGTTTTTTGATTAAATTTTTAACCTTATCCTCGTATGGTCATTGTTTAATCTCAATTGGTCAATTTATGTTAATAATACTAGAAAAACATCTACTTGCAACCTCTAGGACTGTTATGTTAATGCTTTAGCTACCAATTGAATTTTTGTGGAAAAATAATGAATTTTCTCACCTATTTTCCCTCGACAAACTTCAACCTAAACCGACCTCGACCGGAAGATTGAGATCCGGCAGCCCAAATGATGTTTCGTTGCAACTTGCCGTTGCCGTATCTTGTCCTTCAGAGCATCCATTAGGTGTACGCAGTATGCTTGTACGAGAAGTTACTTCTCTTTGCGGGGGTGCTTTGGAGATTGCATCGTTTGGTTCGACAGCCGTTTGCGGTGCCGGGTGATAATCGAACTGCAGAGTAAGAGAGAAATGAGAGGTAAACCAAGAATCCATACTTGGAAGCACATGCAGAACGCTGTGCTAGTTGAAGAGGAGAAAACTCTTTTCACCTTCGTTCTCTTAGAGCTTTCTTCCGTGGCTCTCTCTTTCTCGGATTCGAGCTTTCTGCTCAGCGTTTCGTTTTCGGTTCTGATGTTCTCGAATCTGAGCTTCGCAATCTCCAATTCCTGCTCGATGACGCATAGCGGAAAGCATTTCAATAAAAGAAAGAAATGTTCCAAAATACAAGTATTTGAGATGTATAGGAAGTCAGAGAACATACATTCTTTAAAGTCTTGTTTTCCTTCAAGTGTGAACGTATCTCCTCTTTAAGTTCAGCTAACGTCTGCATACAACCAAAAGTTAAGCTACTGTAAGGAATAAATATAGCAATGGAATCCCTGAAATTTTTTTAGAGCCTAATTAGTCCCTGAATTTGATAACTTTCCCCTTTTTAGTCCTCTTGATGACATGGTACTCTGAGATTGTGCAGCGGGGAACACTCTTACAGTGCCATATCATCAAAAGGACTAAAAATGGATCAAAATTTAAGGACTAGTGAGAAGGGAAGAAAAAGTTCAGCTACCAAGTTGGAAAAAGGGTCAAGTTTAGGGATTAAAGGTTGCTTCATCAATTAGTTATAGATATAGATTCAAATACATTAAAATATTTTCAAGCCATCAATATAATACAATCGTGGACTCCAAGATTACTACCACTGCCATCAATGGAAACAACAAAACGCTAAATATGGCGACATAAGCCTATTCCATGCATGAAAAACATACAGAGTGGGGTGATAAAGAGTTGGTGTCTAATATTTAAACTTATGGGGACTTAAATTGCTATTAGACCAAAAAATGGAAGCAGCCCCCTCCCGTTCATGCTTTGATTAACCCTTTTCAGAAAATAATAATCAAATTTAATCCTTTGTAATCTCTTGATTGAATAACAAAAATAAATTTTTGATGAACCCATTGAGTGATCCTATCGATCAAAGGGAGTATTATTCTTCCTAAACGTCATAGGTTTGAGCAGCTACATCTGCAGGGTATATACGTTGTCAATGGCTAAAAAAAGATCATGAACAAATACTATCTTCTAATCATGTAAATTTTGAAATCTAGGTCATTTACTCGAGTACACGTGTAACTTGTCATGAGAGATGGCAAGTTCTATAAAATATATTAAAAATATAAAACCTGCCATACGGATTAGAACAAAACTGTATAGAACTCATCACCTTCTCGTGACAAGTTCCACGTGCACTGTAGTAAATGTCCTAGATCCCGAAATAATTCTCAAACACTTATTTTTCAAAATTGTTTCTCACCTGGATTATTTAATAAATGAAGCCTGTAATCACCTGGACTATGAAAAAATATACATTTCTGATACTTTCTAAAATATATTTTTAAAATTTCATCTAGATTCCAATACAAAAATTTCAAACTTCATCATGATGGAGACCCAAGTCCTAATGTAATTTTCCAGACACGTAGACCTTAAACCAACCGAAAAACATGGAAGAGGTCAAAATGTTGAAAGTGCTTACCCTTTTCCTCCTAGACCGCTTTGGAGGGGTAATCTCCTTTGTCGTCGCAACCTAAATAAAAAAAAGAGCGGACTGAAATAAGATAGTCAACAATCATATTCCTTGGTCAAATTCTGTAATTAATCCATATACTATATTTGACCAAAATTTATCATTAGGCCCTATATTGTATATAACTTTTATATTTAGTACAGATACTCTTAACTTAATCAATTTTAGTAATTACACTCTCCAGTTTTAAAATTCATGATTTATATAAAACAAAAGAATAACTAAATTACAAGACTTAAAATTATTAGATTTGATAACAAAGTTTAAACCGAATACAAAAATGTTTATCATATCGAAATTTAAGATTCATAACTCGTAATGTAAAAGAATATAACTAAATTATAGAACTTAGAATTATCAAATTCGATAACAAGAGGTAAATCTACGGCGTTCCGCAACAAAAATATTTAATACATGTACCCTAATTTAATCAATTTTAATCACTACACTTTTCAAATTTCAAAATTCATGACTTATATAACACAAGAATTATCACTAAATTACAAGATCTCAAATTTTCAAATTCAAGGATGAGGTCTAAAACTATAATAATAAAATGGCCACCATATCAAGATTTAAAATTCATGGCATATAATTAAATTGCATAACTTAGAATTATCGAATTCCAAGACAAAGTGTAAATCTACGAGGTCCTAAAAGAGGATGTGATGTTTAGGGTTTGGTAGAACAACCTAATAACCAACCAATCAACAAAATGGCAGAGCTTGTGCCATAAATTTGGTGGCGAAAGTGGTCCCCACTTGACCACAGTTTTCCACCAAAATGTGTTTTTTGTCTCACATTTCTACATGTCATATGTGATTCGAAAATTTGGATATCTAAAAATTTTATATATCTAAAATTATAATTATCTAATTTTAAAAAAAATCCAAGTTTTAGTACCATATATTTAATGGGTTAGTGAAGTACTTATTTATAAAACTAAAGTGCATCTAAAATTTAAAAACTCAGTTTTTTTCCCTTCAGAAATCCAATCCAAATTATTCTAACATAAAAAACGGATTAGATATTAGAATTTCGAATCAGATCAACATATAGGAACGATTGGATCATTTTGCACACCCCTAAATTCCCCAAGCATGGTGCTAAAGATCCCTAGAAATTTTAAATTTCCTATATTTTAATTTTTTTTGTATTTTTTTATTAATTATACAATTTTATACCCACTAAATATTTTAATATAACTACTAAGTTTGCACCTAAACTTTTAGGTCCGTCGGTGCCCAAGGGTATACTTTTTCGTTTCCTACGACAGTCTGTTGACTCTCACGCATCACTGCCCAATCAAAAAGGGTATTGGATTTCTCCGTATAAAAGCTGTCATATGCATCCAATGAAATGCTATAAAGACACGTCAGAGTAAAGAGGAAAAAGAGAAACTGTAGTTGAGAGCGCACTGAATCATTACCCACTCTCCACCTTCGATGAAAACAGCCAAACAGAACGCATTTTCCTTTGAAGTATATGAAGCTGAAACCAATCACATTAACCAACCCTAAACTACAAATAAAAAACCCGTTTCGCCACGCAACTGATAAGTCAGGCCCGTCATACTTATGTTTTTACCATGTTGTCCCTCGAAACTCCTAATCTCTTGAGGATTGTTCATGATGAATTCGTCATTTTAACGTAAAGATATCGACCCTATCCGGTTTGGTTTCAAATGTAATTAAAACTAAATATAATCAAGAAATCAATAAGATTATAGATGTCCAAATCGGTATACCAAAAGAACATAATGACCAAAATGTCCAGGGAGACGGGGGTGTTTTAGACTTTTCCGGAAGTAGATATGACACGGGGAGCATTGTGAGAATGATGAAAAGACAAAATGTGAATCCATGCGTTGAATGGAAGTCACCGAAATTTCTCTTCGCAGAATAAGCGAGAAATATTTTTAAAAAAGGAAAGGGCATTTCGGTCAACGGAGGAATAAATAAGTCCGGTGGCCGGAAACGACGCTCGATCTAATGTAGAATGACGTTGAAGTCCTAACACTGTATTTAAGAGAACTCCGTCAATAATACAAAACACGGCAAAAAGACGAAAAACCACCGAACTGAATACCAGAGTCAACAATCGCGAGTCACGGAGTCCAAAAAGAGAGATACGAACCTTAGATCTAGCGTTTTCAACAGGCTTCAAAGGAGGACGGCTAGACTCCTCGGAGCCGTCACCACTACCGCTTCCGCTAACAGACACGCCACCGCTCCAACAAAGTGGTGTGTTGGGGCTGGCACGTGCCTGTTCGGCTTTCTTCTTGAGAAATTGCTTGGACCTGCGTTGACGGACGCTCCACTCGAGTTGTAAAGCTTGGGAGGTGGCGCTGGCTGACCGCGGTGGCGGAGACTCCGATCGGAAGAGGCTGAGTAAGGCCTTTGCCGCCAACGTGGAATCGGTCAAAGCTTGTTTGACCCACTCATCTTCACTCATACTCCAACTTGGTTGAGTTTTCCAAAGAGGAAAATGGAATGTTAAAGCAAGGAATAAAAAGAAAGAAAAATGGCAGAGAAGAAGAGAAAAAAAATATGATGGGAAACAAACATGTATTTATATCGAAAGAAGAAAATAATAGATGCTTGGTTTTGAAGTCATGCGATTTGGTTTTTAATTTTTGTCAAAATATTCTATCGGTCTCTGTACTTCGGTAAATTTGACATACAATCCCTTGATTTTAAAAAGTTAAACAATAAAATCTCGTAGGTGTTCACTAATGAATTTCGTAAGACATAAGAAGAATGTCCTCGAATGAACCTTGAATATTTAACACTGCCCAGTAAGTTGTGATTTATTTGATATGATCTTTGATAAATTCACATGATCTGTCGAAATTAAATCTATCACAAATTGATCATATTCACCTAATTATCAGCCTTCGAGTAATTATAGACCATACACCTGACACTGACTCTAAGTGTAACCATGAAACATATCGATCAAGACAGAGATAAAGGACGACACCACCTCACACTTGCTCTTCTCTTTTTTGTCTCTTTGTGAAGACAAAATACTCGAACACCGATTAATAGTTGATTCACTATCGACTACAATTCTTTGTCTAGATAAAAGAGAAGGATCTATCTACAGTCGTCACAACCCATTTGATCTTATCAACAAATTAATATATGTTACAAGTCGTATTTATCTTGCGTATCAAACTTTCTATTATACTAAAATTTCTTATCTTCATTTGATAGATATATGTTAACATGATATTTTATGTGAAATTATGATAGGACGAGTCATATGATTATATCCTAATCAACACGTTAAGTTGGCAAAATTTTGACGGAAATTATTGATTTAGATTAGGGTTTGCAAATGGAAAGAGGTTGAGAATTTATGATTTTCAAGTGTAGGATTAATGATATTATAACATGATAATTTATACCAAAATAATATTGTTTTTTTTAATACAAAGGAGGCTAAAGCCGGGTTCTAAGCGTTCATGCGAACATGGGGGGACATATCTCGGTGCAGAACAGCAGAAAGGGAGTCTGGGGCAGCTTCAAGAACTCTGAGCAGGCGGTCATTCTTCAATGCGAGCTTGGCTAGATGGTCAGCGGCGTGATTCACTTCGCGTCGGATTAATGTGAATTCAAACGACCAATTCCTAGAACAGAGCGAGGTTATGCTTCTCACAAGAGAGAACGAGCTATTAATGGCTGGTGGGAGAGGAGTCATAGGGATCGGAGCTATCTGTTTGGATAATAATACGGTTAAGGCCCTTCGACCATGCCAGATGGAGACCTTCTTGTATTGCCGAGAGCTCTGCAAGGAGAACCGAAGATGGCCTCAAATATCGATAATAAGCCAGAAGAAAGCTTCCCCCATCATTACGTATTACCCCCCCCCCCATCGACCCAATGCTGGAAGTCGAAGAAACAACGCCACGGGAATTTAAACAGAACCAACCTTGGTTGGGGCGATTCTACGGGACAACTTCAACGTTGTGAGGACTGGGGGAGGTCGACATCGCAACAGCTTTGTAGTAGTGATTTGCCCATGAAGTGCTAAGATTTATGAGAGACATGACGTCAATAGCTTGGCCTTGAAAGATGAGATGTTATGCCATTTCCAAGACTGCCAAATTAATGAAGCAAACAAAATGTTCCGAGGACAATATGCCATCACAAGAAATGTTCATAACCAACCAGTCCAAGAGGGGAGCACAGAAGAAGTTATCGGAAGATCGATAACGTGTAATGAAAACCTAGGCTTCTTGGACCACCGTGCATGTAATCTCTAAGGATATGGAGAAGAGTCTCATTATGACAGGAACAAGAAGGACAAGCTGGATCTTGAGAGAAACCTCGTTGGCAACGAACATGGTTAGTGAGGAGTCTATCCTTGAGAGCAAGCCAAATGAAGCATCGTAATCGTTCCAAGAGCCATCAGGGAGGTTAAATAAGCAACCGTCAAGGAAGGGTCAATGTCGATAAAGTAAATCATAAAACGAATATGATAAAGATGAAATGGGAACTTAAGACTCATACAACAAACACTTTTATTTTGGGCGACATTTTCAACAATGCATGAAACTCGTCAATAAAAAATAATTTTTATTCGAAGATTTTACCTCGATGTGATAAATTTTAATAAAAATATATTTATTAAAACTTATCATCTCGAGATGATGAATTTAAATAAAAAAATATTTTTTATTGAAACTCGTCACGTTAAAATCCCATAATAAAAATTCGAGTGCCGCTAAATAAAAAATTCGGATACCCTAGCGGGCCAAAAAAACCCAAAGTGTCCAGCTTGGCTTCGACCCAAAAAGAGAACCGGCTCAGTCAAAACACTAAACCCCCTTTCCACTGTCTTCGTCACCTTCAAAGCCCTAAAATCGACCCTCTTTCGATTCCAACATAGCTATGGCGGTCAATCTTACCAGATCCAAACACGGATCCCTCGCCAACCCATCACTCCTCCGCCTTTTCTCCACTTCTTCTAACGGCCCGAACAATGGAAACGCCGCCGCGAACGGCGATTACTCCGCCGATAACCCCTCTTCAGTCTCTTCGTACTTCGGCAATGCCGGAGCCAACCAGCAGCAACAGAAACAAAGACCCGGAATCGCCACTTCCAAACCCGTTTTCACGAGCGCTTCCTTTAATGAAATTCGCAAGAATCTCTCCGAGTACCGCCGGAGTTCTGCCGTGCCTCCTGCTGAATCCTCTCCTACTCATTCAAAATCGCCCCCCCTTTTTTCATTCCAAGAATCATACAGAAAAAACTTCTTAGCGAAACGAGGGGAGTCAAACGAAAGCTCTGATGGTCTTGCTCCTAGTGGGAAAGTATCCTTTGATTTTATAAAGAATAGTCTTAAGCAAATGAAACCGGATCCTGGGGCGAATAACGTGGGGAGAAAACAAGGGTCCTCTCTGTCTTTGTCTGAGTATAAGAATACTTTAAGGTTGAACCCTTCAGATGACAAACGGGTCTCCACGGTGATCGGCGGGTCATTAACCGACCTGCCGAATTCCATTTTCGGGAGGGAGATGAAAGATAGAGCTAAGGAGGAGAGCCTGCGATGAAGACAGAGTTTGTTAAGACGTATGGTTATGAAGAGTTAGGGCAGAAGTTGAACCAGTTGCGGCCGCCGAAAAAGGAAGGGGAAGGAGGGTTTTCGTTGCAGGAGTTGAAGGAAAGGCTGATGAAGTTGAGAGAAATCGAAGAGAAGGAAGACGAGGCGAGGAACAGCGGGCTTTCCTTTCACGACTTAAAAGAGAGTTTACGTACTTTGAAGATGTCTGAAGATGAAAAACGGAAAAATGTCCATCGTAAGTTTTCGACTTAATGATTTTGTTTTTAAAGTTCACGACTTCACATCAGTTGGCATAAGGTATTTTGCGTTGTTTCATGGATTATGTGGTTAAAAATCTTAAATTTTGTATTCAATGGCAATTAGGTGGTTAAAAAGCATTTAGGTGCTTGTTTCATGGATTTATCATGAAATGGAGTGAAAAGAATCTTAAATTTGATATTCAATTGCTAAGATTGATTGTCAATAATATGAATGAATGTCATAAACTTCTGCGTGAACTCTTGGTGATTTTAGTCACCAACGATTTATCGAGCCAGATAGAAAATATGGTTTGCCTTTTTTTTCCTCTTAAATAGGCACACACTAATTCTGAACATGACTTTTCTATTGCTTGAAGGATAAACAAAAACTCATACGAAAACCTCTCTGGTTTTACTAATCGACCTATATGGAAGACACAGTTTCATTGCAACTAAAAACTTTGAGAGCAATGTTTTGGATTTCTTTCAGATTCGTTTATGTTCAAAACTGAAGCTATAAGCCTATAATGGTAAATCAAATCTTTAATATGGTTGAATCAATGGAACTATTCTACTCGTGTAATTTTCATTTCTGAAATCCGAGTGAAGGAGATAGTTCTGTATGACTAGGAAACTCAGTTTAAATGTCTTTCTGAAGGAAAAATGAATTTAATATTCTCTAGATTTCTGAAGATCTTCTTTTCTGGGCTGTGGAATATGAGATTTCGGTGGATTGAATAGTGCTACTACTGAGGGATCATGTCTGGCATACTCTGTGCTCTGGAGGATGACATGTATAATATCATATAATAAATTGATATTTGATCTCTCGTTTTTCAGCCTATAGAATTGAAATATGGACTTTCTCGGTAGAACTCCAGCGTATATGACGGGACCTCCAAAGGAGCATTTAGTTGAAAAGGCAAGTTTATATTTTTCCCTCTTTCTCCCTTTCCGTTACTGAATTTTAGTTAAGAGTCTTGGTGGTTATTGGTATTTGTTACTTATGCATCGTTTCCTATTTCCTATGCACAAACTCAGTACTATTTAATTTTTGCTTTTTCTTATGCAAACATTTTTCATGGATACACTTAAAAAGTTAAGGTGATTACCTGTGTCTTGTTCATTCCTTCTTTTATTTTTCTCTTATCATTTGGATGATTGAAGTGACTGACCTCTATTAAGACTTTTTTTTGTTTTGGCCTACAAGTCGGTGCAGGGATTCATATCTTAATCAATGAACCTATCCCCTGTATTACTAGGATTGAGTTTTTTTTAGTGGTTTTATTTTACTAAAATCATCTGTATTTAAGTTCTAATACTGTTATGATGCTTTTGCAGCATTTCCATCCAGATAATATGTCTTCTGGTGAAAAAATGAAAATTGAGCTTGCAAAAGTTAGAGATGAATTTAAGATGTCTGAGTCAGATTGTGGATCGGCACGTGTTCAAGGTAAAATATTTAAATTCTTTTAGTGTAATATTTACCCGTTTAGGCATGAAGCATTCCCTTACTGTTCTTCGACCATTGACTGTATAACCTTCTTTCACCGACATGTTTTTGCTACTTTTTATGTACTATTTTCTAAGTTAGAAAGGCTCTTGTTTATAATGTAATATTATTAAATGGTGGATAATAAGATAAAATTGAAAATAAAGTTATTCTAAACATACTTAGCAAAAAGATATTATCATCTGGTATGCAAAACCCAACATTCCAAAAGGATCCTTTTGGAAT